TATATATATATATATATATATATATATATATATATATATATATATATATATAAGTAGTGAAATCAATAATTTCTGATACACAATAGAACGCATAATTCACGCGCGATACATTCCACATGGGCGATAAAGAAGCAATTATTTTCGGAACGCTTCGCCGCTTCACTGGAAATTTTCCGAACGATATTATCGATTAAAGTTCCCGCGCGACGCGGAAAACGTCGGTTCGACGATTGCGTCGTTAAGTGTCCCATTTATCTTCCTCGTGCCTCAATGCAAAACTTTTGAAATAAAATAGCTTGATAGTCGGTCTCGCTGCGTTACATTGGCTTATAAAAGGACACAATTTCTCTGTCTTTCTCCCTCTTTTCTCTTCCTCTCTTCTGCCTTTCCCTCCCTCCCTCCCTCTCACTCTCTCTGTTTCTTTCTCTCGACTAGGAGCTTCTCGGTTTCTCGTGGGAAACTGGGCTCGCCAAAGTTACGACAGGTAATAACAAACTTTCGTATTCTTCCTCCTTGCGACGCAAATGAAACGCTCGAGCGAGCGCGGGTTAATTTATATCAATTACGCCGACTGATGTGATTAAAGCCGAGAAGGAGAGCAAAGAGGCGGATTAAGAAGTTATCCCTCATATCGCGTGCTTGATATTTCCTTCTCTCTTTTTCTCTTTCTCCCTCCTCTCTCTTCTTCCCTCTTCTACCAATTACCCCAGGGAAAAAGACTGACAACGTGTCAGTCTAACGGGCAATTTCGCTTCTGGGAATTGCCTCTCGGTATATTCTTTCGTTGTTCAATTGGGCGCGGCACGGAGAGAAACGTTCCTCAAATATTCAGGCACGAGGCAATTTTTGCGACAATCAGCCACTGATATCACGAATAATCTAAAGAAACATATAATGCCGCACGCGAAACACATCGTCCGTTTCGTCTCTCTTGATCTTCTGACGTTCCACTAAGATAAAACGAAACTCCCTCGCGGAAAAGTTATGAACGAAAATCTAGTAAGAATTTCTCAAGTAATTAAAGAGCTCGTAAAGCACCGCGGGCTATTATCGTCCATTAGCTTATAATCACGACGCGATTGCGTACAAGTCACAATGTCTCGCTCAAACCGAGTGAAAAGTAGGTTTTTAACGGACCTGTTTTTATTAAAGCTGAGTGCTTCGCTTCTCCTTCATCCTTGTGCACGGAGGAGAGAGCAAGAGATCTCTCTTCCTTTCTACCTTTTCTATCTTACAACTCCTCCACCGTTCTTGTTTCTCGCACGGCGGAAGTAAACGGCTTTAACTCGCTCTTTCTCTCTCTCTTCCTCCCTCTTTTTCTCTCTCAGCGCTCTCTCCCTCTTTGAGCGAAATTGCGGCGGCCGAAATTGCGAATCTCGGTGCGCGCATAAAGGAGACCGAAACTCACGGCAGCGAGTACATAATCGCGACTCGGTGAGCAGGCATTTATTTAATACATGCCGCGAAGTTGTCGCAGTTGATGCGCGCCGCGGATGCGCTTGCTTATAGGATCGCGTATTAACCATTTAACCTCTCGCAAGAGTCCGAAATTACTTCGGAACTACCGGCGACATTGTTAGCTCCACGAGTGCGTAAATGTGATCTGCTTTCTCGCTCGTGCAATAACGCGATGATCTTACAGTCTCGAGTGACTCTGCGAACCAAAGTTTACGAGTTTACTAGTTATCCGCAACTATATATTATATAATTTTAATACTGTCTTACTCGTATAATCGTAATAGAAATAATATATTCTGTTGTGTAACTTAATCGATGCGTAGTATTATAAAGAAAATGTTGTAGTATATTATCATTGATTACGAAAACTGGACTTGGTTCATCTTCCTTCTTCAAAACAGAGTATAGTTATTTTTCTCCTTCTTCATGTAATTATTAAAGTCGAATACTGCGAACAAAGGATCAAGAATTAGAATCTTATATAAAGTCTAGAAATAATTGAAGTAGAATATCGAAAACTAAAGAATCTCATACGTGACATATTACCGTTGGACTGATTTTTGTCGTTCTGCTGCAAAAGATTTATAGGCAGAGCAGTCGGCGCTTCTTTCTCCAAGCATATAGATGACATGTTGGACACCGGAGACAATTGGTAATTGCACAGGGATCCATCGTATAATGACGCGGCGCCTGTGACACAGTAAAATTTATCGCAAATTTAATGATCATATCAGACACATCAAACACTTATAATTAACCGTTGATATAACGCGAACAAAAATGCTTTAATAGAATATGAAGATCTTGAAGACTAATTGGCAGAAGGAACAGATAAAAAAAGTAAAAAACCAGGAAATTACAATCGAATATGCAGCATAAATGTCTAAGAGACATCTTAGACACGTCTGAAAGATATCCTACTTGTATTAGATGTCCAGAATACTCTGAGACCTTTATACTGTTTGGGATATCAACAGACAGTGTAGATGTGAATTCTACTAAAAAAAAAGGAAAAAACGTGATCAATCGAATAATCAACCTTTCGTGAAATCTTGGTCGAAGAAGCCTATATTGCTTTCGCAGAATTCGTAACGCGGCGACGAGAATACATTGCTTTCTGCGCCGTTCGGAACAGGTTTCGGCAGTACGGCCACGTTGTAGTGCACCGTTTCTATCTTTCTAATTTTTGGGACCGACGTCGGGGCCGACGTCGTGGACTTGTGCGATGTCGATTCCGCGTTGTCCTCGCGGACAACGTTCGAAGGGTCGACATTTATCTTATAGCTGCTACTTCTCTCACTGTTCTCCCTTTGAAGTCGCATTCTTTTCACTTCAATTTCGTCCTGTGTACTCTCGGCAGCGCTATGCTTGAGCGGGTTCCCCTTTGTACGGGGACTTGGCCGCGTTTTCGCAGGCTTGTGCGGCCGGTGCGTTTCCTCCTGAGAGATCTCTATCATTTCTACGTCATTCTCCGCTGAAGCCGCTTCTTCAGCCGCGTTCGCCTCGATATTCGGCTCTACCGAAGCGATGTGTGGGTCCGTGCTTTCGATAATGGGATTTTTCGGATTAGAGCTTTCCGTCTGGACGATGGCGCACTTAGGATCTTTGTCCTGCACCGACTCCACGTCTATTACCTCGATACACTCGTTCACGCAGAGTTCCTCCAGGACCACGGTATTGATGGACGAGGTATCTAAAAGTCGAAATACAATGCGCTAATTGAACCGTCCATTTAGGAGACATATCACGCTGGTACAAAAGATCCTCGTGCTTGTCAAGTAAAACAGAAAATGAAATTGTTCAATTTTGAAGGATTATAATTTTCGAATAAAATGAGCAACATCGACGCGATGCTTTATTTTTAAACATCCACCAACGAGAACTTATTTATCGTGTTTGTCAAATAAAATAGAGGAAGATATGCTATCCAATTTCGATTATAATTTTTACGAGTAAAACGAGTAACGTCGATTCAATGTTTCTTTTTAGACGTTTACTAACGAGGACTTCCCATCTCCCTTCCAATACCCAAATTCCGTACGACAAATTAATAGAAAAATGACAAAGCCTCCGCACCAAATAGTAAAATCTAAAATCTGTTCTCACCGTCGAAAGTATCGACAGCTTGCATCCATTGGTGCTGAACTTTTGTGCGCGTCTGTGCTTGAGCGTACATTCGCCGAAGCGGTATGTTAATCTTCGGCGGTGCCATTTCCAACATCTTCTGCTTGCGCAATCTCTTCTGGTCCTCCAGCTTCTTGTGTCGTACTTGCATCTGCGAAGGTGAAGAGGAATCGCGTGATTTAAGAATAGAACGTCGTCGGGACTTAAGAATAGAGTGGTGAAAGATCAACTCGTTCGAATCACCTCGATTTCGATGGACCGTAACTCCCGTCTGTGGTAATCCACGTTCACCTTCAACCTCGTTAACTTCTCTTCCAATTTCAATCGTTGCACCGCGACGCGGCCAAATTCAATTATCTTGCAGCGCATACGGATCCAATCGATACGTCGCTTCTGCCTGATAATCGTCACTATCTCCGTTTTCTCGTAAGTCATGACCATGTGCGCGATTTGAAGCTTCCTCAGCTTGATCTTGGCGGCCTTTCTGGCCTTCGCCAGCGGAAATTCCTCGTATATAGCCTGTCAAAAAATGCGTCGTACACTCTCCCGATTATTTCATTAAACATCAAAGTTGCATACAAATTATTGATGTCGCTACTGACGTGATAAGCGTCGCTCGAGTTCTTGTACTCGGCGATGATGTCTCGATATTCTTGCGCCCTCAGTTCTATCAGTTTATACTGATCGTCGACGTTCGCCTTCATAGCATCCAACGTGTCCACTGTTTCGCTCTTGCTTATATACAATCTACGTCAAATGGCGAAATCCCAATGCGCGTATCGAAGAGGGAATTCGACACAGAAAGATATACGAAATGTTACAAAAGAGTGTAAAAAATATAAGAAATAAAAGTATAAGAGTGTAAAAGTATAAGAAATGTGAAAAATACATTAAAAAGTAGACAGCCAGAATACTTAGAAGGGAACAAGTGGTTGATCAAACTAAAATTATAATTATTTTTCACCAAAATTTTTCGGTTGTGCCAACACAAAAATGGTAGTAGTAATATACGTGCACGATGTTATTATCACTAACATTATATTAGAATTTCATTTTAAAAAGTAGTTTTTCTTGGCCATGATTTATAATAATTATAATAATTATTTCTCTGTGTGATTGTAGCTATTACAAATTTTTGTAATCAGTGTAGACGCTGATTTCAATAGATGCAGTACCTTGTTAGACTCTCGCTCAATTTCACTCTTACTCTCTGCATCTGCATCGCCTTCTCCTTGAGATGCTTCCTCTTGCTGATTTCGTTGCGCATCTTTACCCTCATCTTCTGTATCATCATTGAATTAGCTAGAAACCACCGGCGACAATTTTACGGTAAACCACAAGGCAGGAATATTCGCGACGTTATATTTGTAACCACAATTCAACTGAAAGTCTCGTCGCAACTAACTTTAAATTTAGAGTTGAATATCTCTCATCTGAGGTAAGTTTCAAGTAACAGCTATTAATACGGACCTAAGTTAATATGGCAAGCTGTGTTAGAGTAGTTTTGCTTACTTGTTAACAAGTACATCATAGTACGAAGTATTTTGCGTTACGGTATATTAAATTGCGGTAGGTATTAATATTATCGTTCCCATTTCATACCCATTTCACACGGTAAGACGCGTTTGTGGATGTTTCGAGCTCGTATGAAACTTTCATTCCCCTTCTCGTGCCGAGTCTCACGTTTTGCATTACATTATTGCGCACAGTACGCCGCGCTTTACCTTCGAGCTTTTTCTTGCCCGCCGCAATTTCCATCTTCAAACAGGTATCCAGTACTTTCGCGAATTGCGGATCATCGGAACGCAGTTGATTGTCTGTCTCCATCGCTTTTTCCAGCGGGATATTACCCTGACGTTGCGACACGGTTGTATCTCTTTCTCGAAGCGACGCCATTCCGACCGGTCTGAAGTTTTCCGCAATTGGGCGGTTTGTCGCTTGCGCGATTGTTGGACGATGAACTCAAGCGCGCCACCATCACGCTTTGACATAGAGTCCCTAAAGTCAGAGTTAAAAGACACCGACCGCCATTTGCAGGAAAAAATTGAGTGAGTGAGTGAGTGAGTGAGTGAGAAAGAGAGAGAGAGAGAGAGAGAGAGAGAGAGAGAGAGAGAGAGAGACTGCAGCATGCTTCGTCATTTCAGTCTTAGAGCTTCTCTCTCACTCCTCTACTAGGGTTTTTCATTCTCACTCATACCATCCCTTAAATTACAGATAACAACAGAAATCATCGCGTTGTTTTGACTCTAACTAGAAAAACTCTAGCTTTGAAAGTAACAACGATAAAGAATCAGAAAATATTCATTTATAATAATAATCAGATAGCAAAATAATCCTGGAATTATCTCGAATGTATTCAGAACATTCTAAAACACTTCCCAGAGTATCCTAAACACACCTAGGATAATTCTAGAATATACTGCGCTGTCTGGACAATTTTTCATCACTGAAAGATTAAACCCCTGCTTAATCGAGTAAATCGTAATCGTCGCTTAGCTACGATGGCGCGAGTGTGTCGGAAGTTTGTTGCTTAGTTGCTCATTGTTAACCCCCGTTTACGCCACTTTCGGCGACTAACTTTCCGCGGAAGTCACGAGTTACCATGCGCGAGACACGAACATACGCGCGACTACTTTCAGAGGGTTGGAAAAAGTGACAGGAGTGGCTACGTCGCGCCGTATGTTTCTCCCCCGAGTTCTTCACGTCGCTAGTAGTTGGAATTGGCTGGCCGTGTTAAGTTTACTTCGGTGCGAAAGTTCGATTGTTTTTGCCGGACGCTCGTAACTCCGGAGCCTTCGGGTTCGTTAAACGGCGGGGGACCGCGACTCATACATCTGTATTTCTTCGTGATACACTCTGACACACGAATGCGTCTGTGAATCGCGAGGAAGGACGACGGTAGTTACGAGTGCGGAGCGGAGATAGGGAACGAAGCGAAATATATGGCCGAATTGATCGTAAATCCTGAAGAGTTTCGTCCAGCGCGATATACGCCTACGATATTTAATACCTAGCGTTACTCGTAACATTCTTCGCAGGAGGGTGAGAGCGAGCTCGCGCAATTGCCGAGAAGATGTAAAAGTCGGGAAGCAATATTCGTCTCGAGTAATGCGCGCCGTGTGATGTAAAACGGAATGAAGGTAAAATCAGCTTAGTAAAATCGAGTTGGTAAAGTCGGGTTTTAGTGATGATTAAAATCTCAAAAATTTCAGGAATACAGGAAGCACTTCAGGAATTGTGAGACTTGGCCTCTTTATATATTCTTCGCTGTTCACAAAAGAGCTTAATTAGGCTCGTTGCAGGGCTTCAGGCGCAATTGAAAACGATTATTTGGCATGCAAGTAAACTTTTCTAGTTAACATTAAAAGAGAAAAGAATAATTTTCTTAATAGGATTGAGGGAATATCAGAGAGTCCAACACTTGTCTCACATTCTTTTCAATAAGAATATTCAGAGTTAAATGCACTTTGTTTCAATACGGTGTAAACACTTCTTTACTCCAGTGGTCTAACGAGAGAAGTAAACTTCTAAGAACTAATTAGAAACAAGTTCTCTGTCTGTATCGACTACGTTCTGAGGTGCATCGAAAAAGAAGCGTTGAAACCACGTTAGGACAAAGTGTCCAGGCATTGGTCCATTTACCATACTGTCGAAAGGATTTGACTCGATCGTCATCAATGTCGCATTGACGAAGCACGATCGCACGATCAACTGGTGCGCTTCGCGACGGATCAGCAGGGTGCATGGGAATCAGAACTACCCGCGCGGTTCGCAAGTTAATAGAAATGCGCGACAGCCGATTAACTTCTCGGCCCCGAAAATCGATGTCGGCGCGCCGCGTGTTCGACCCGGGCACGATTCGAGGCCCGCTGGAAAAATAAATAAGTAAAGATCCGAGCCGGGACGTCGGTCGTGGACGCCTCAGGGGGAGGGAGGAGTGCGGGGAACACGGCACAGCACGTTGGCCGTCGGCCAGCCGGTTCGCATTTGGGTCAAACTGACCTGCCGCTATCCCCCGAGCATCCAGCAAGTCGGAGCAACGCCGCCGTCGCCTCATCCCCAGGAGTGAGGATGACTGCGCGAACTGTTCCCTCTTCCACAACACCGGCGTCCCCGTAATCGGCGTGCTCACCGCTTTTACGTGCCCGGGCCACGCGGCGCACTCCGCCCCGTGGCGCAGGCCACTTGGCTGCGGATGTCGTAAGTGGAGACTTGCAAATGTGTCCGTCGCGAGGACGACGGGGCGTGAATAATGCAGGAGATGCGAAAGTTGATTCAACATTTGTGAAATTCGTCAAGATTTGTCGAATTCGAATCGAGCCGCTTCGCCGGGATCTTGCGCGAAAGGAGCCACTCGACATTGCCGGCCGAGGAACAACTTCCACTACTTTCGAGAATAAACATGCCCGTTTGTCAGATTGCTCGCATTCTGGACGCGTGTTTCTGGAGAGCTAAACATGCCCTTCTGATTCTCAAGCTGAACCCACAGAAAGTTCGTACAAGAAAAACGGAACGTGGAGTTAAAAGGACATACTCAACCTTCGCTATGCGTTTCAGATCAGGGCCCCAAACATTTCAGATAAAAATTCGCGCGATGGGTTCTTGCATGAACAATACCCGCGGAAATTCCGGAGTCCAACTCGACTGTCGTAGAGTGTTGCGTTGAGAGACGAAAATTAATATGTAATTTCAGGAAATAGCAGATACATTAGGAGCTGTTCACGGCATAATTCGCGATCATTTCGTCAGTAGCTTCAGAGTCTCCTTTGAAGCTAGTGGAAATCATACCGTGGGGAGCGTGAGCGAAGACCATAAAGAACAGACAGTCTATGCCGCGCCCATGAATGCCCGGGGTTATCAATGCTTCGTAAAATGGGTTATCATCGGGCGCGGTAACGTCCCTCGTCAGGCGATATTTCTGTTATTATTGCGTCCCGACGCCGCGGGAATTGTGTTCTCTTTTTTCATTTTCTTCTTATAGATGTCGAACATTGGAGAGAAGGCGCGCGAGAGAAATCCGTAAGGACGTGTCCGCAATCGTGAGACCGGCAGACCGACGTGTGTTCGAAGTTGTGGAAGGTGTTTAATTAGAATATTCATAATTATTCAGACACTCTCTTCGCCGTGCAACATAAATACTTCACACCATGCGCGCGCGGGATGTTCCCACGGGAATATTTCGATTTCTGCGGCGCGCAGAGATCGGCCCTCCCCGCGAACAGTCCGCCCTGACGCATTAGCGTCGATCGATCCTCGCGAATCGGTTTCCTTGAGCGAACATTCCGCTGTGGAAGCGCGCAGGAGATTTATTTGCGACGCAGGCGGCCACGGTACGATAACAAAATATCGGGATTATGAATCTTTCATGGACGGCGATGCTCCCTTCGCGCGCGCCGACGAAATTGAAGCCAAATCGAAGTGCGCGGTGGTTCCGATGCAAAAAATAATAAAAATCGAAAGGGAAAGAGAGGAAGAGAGAACATAACGACACGAATGGTATCCTTTCACAGCTGCGCCACTAATTGATCGGTAGGAACAGCCTGGATGAATGTTCATTAAAATACAGCTCGCAGAAACGCAGGATAAACACCGCGCGCTCATATCTCCAGGATCCCATCAAAGTTTGCTCGTTGCGAATAGGAGATATGCGGAAAAAAGTATGCGTGCGATACGCTGAAAATCGCTTTTCGCGGAGAAGTTTTCCCTCAGAGCGGGTTTACGGTTAAAATCGAGTTAGCGCGCCGATGACAGTTCAAATATATGCTGAGAAACACTTGAAGATTTATATTACTTATTTATTTTACAGAATAAACTTTATATTCCACAAATAGATTTTCAAGTATTCTTTTTTCTCAGTATATACTGAGGAAGAAATAATGGAAAATTTATTTGTGAGATACAAATTTTATTCACGGAAATAAATTTTGCTTCACAGAAACAAGCTGTGTTTAATTTCTCGTGACTATTTAATTTTAATCAAATCAAATTTCATCATTTACTTAAACCTTACTTTACAGAAATAAATTTTATATCCCGCAGGTAAATCTTCAAATATTTTTTCTCAGTGTGTATAATTTCTTGAAAAATTCAAACGTTAATTTCGTAATCGCTAAGAATCCAAATGAATCAGGTCGAAGGGGTAGAAACTTCGTCGGGGGTGCTCATTCACGCGCCTCGTTATCGGCTTATACTCGCTTGCAATTTTACTTTCCGGTTTTCCAATACACGAGTCGAGTTCTCCTCTTAGGATACTTCTCGACGAAGAAGCCGCCTCTGCTGTTTGCGTCAAGTAATTTCTGTCATAGGGAGACCCTTTAGGGCGCGAGCATACGCGCGAGAACAACGTAGATAGATTTTATAAATGGATGGAAGTTTTCAATGGGGGG